AGTGGAGGGAGTAAGACATCCCAGTCATCTTGGCGGCTATTACAAAACTTTGCCAATTCCTGTGCCAGTGTCCAATTGTACTTTTCTACCATCCCATCAGACTGTGGGTGAAGTGGCGTTATCCTGGTCTTTCGTATGCCAAAGAATTTGAAACACAGCTGATTCAAAGTTACGGCCTCGATCTGAATGCAGTTCGTATGGCATACCAAACCCGAAGAAGAAATCACTAATAGCCAAAGCCACAGTTGTAGCTTCCTGATTTAGTATTGCATATGCCTCAGGCCACTTGGTGAAATAATCCATCACCACACAAATGTATCTGTTTCCAGCACTAGTTTGGGGCAAAGGACCAGCAATGTCAATGGCTACTCTTTCCATTGGTGCGCCAACTTGATATAATTTCATTGGAGCACGTCCCTTATGCTTGGGTCCCCTTTTAGCACAACATGTACTGCAGGTTCTGCACCATTCTTCCACATCTTGCCTCATACCTATCCAGTAAAATCTCTACCATAGGTGAGTCAATGTCTTCTTAACTCCGAGATGTCCTTCTGTTAAACTATCATGGGATTAACGCAGCACAACTTCCCGTAACTTTCTCGGTATAACTGTTTGCCAGGATGTCATTTTCCCATCTGCAGTTTCCCATCTTCGGACAAGAATACCATCTTCAAGCCTCAACTGGTCTCATTGTGCCCAATAGTTCTTTGTCACAGGGCTTAAGCTAGACACCTTCCCACAAGCAGGGTGCAAAACACTTGCTTGTAGAAAATCAATTATTGGCTTCAAATCTTGGTCTTTCTCCTATTCTGCTTTAATATCTATAATTGGTTCCACTTCACCATCATCAACTCCTTCAGTCACTTTGACTTCAGCTTGATGGCACCTGGTTAGTCCAAACCCCTCTTTTAACACTTACTGGAATTTGGCCTTTGTTGTTCCCAAACGTCACTTTATCAAAGTAGTAAGTAGTCCAACCCTAATATGCATGGGTCTTCAATGTCAGACGAGTATACTTCGTGTCTGTCCTTTATGCCCATGAGCTCAATAGTTACCCACACTGGTCCCCACAACCTTGTATAAATAATAAACATCTAACTAAGAACTACCTAAGTAAAATATATAAAATGTAGAAGCACCTAAGTACTATATAAGTAATATATAAGAAATGCAGCACCTAACTAATAACTTCATATCTAATATATCGAAAATGCCGAACCTAACTAAGTACTACATGAGTAATATATATTGAAAATACAGCACCTACCTCAGTACTAAATAAGTAATATATTTAAATGCAGCATCTAACTAAGTACTAAATAAATAAGAATACGGAAAATGCAGCACCTAACTAACTACTAAATAAGTAATATATATAGGAAATTCAGCACCTAAAAAAATACTACATAAGTAAAATATAGAAAATGCAGCACCTAACATAGTACTACCTAAGTAATATATAGAAAATGCAGCAGCATCTAACTAAGTACTAAATAAGTAATACATAGAAATGCAGCCCTAACTCAATACTAAATAAGTAATATATACAAAATACAGCATCTAACTAAGTACTAAATAAGTAATATATACAAAATACAGCACCTAACTAAGTCCTAAATAAGTAATATATACAAAATGCAGCACCTAAATAAGTAATACATAGAAAATGCAGCCCTAACTCAATACTAAATAAGTAATATATACAAAATCAAGCACCTAAATAAGTAATGTACGGAAAATGCAGCACCTAGCTAAGTACTTCGTAAGTAATTTATAGAATATTCAGTACTAAATAAGTAATACATAGAAAATGCAGCCTCCTAATCAATACTAAACAAGTAATATATACAAAATACAGCATCTAACTAAGTACTAAATAAGTAATATATACAAAATGCAGCACCTAACTAAGTCCTAAATAAGTAATATATAGGAAATGCAACACCTAACTAAGTAATAAATAATTAATATATAGAAAATGCAGCAACTAACTAAGAACGAAATAAGAAATATATAAAAAAAGCACGCAACTAAGTACTACATAAGTAGTATATAGAAAATGCAGCATCTAACTAAGTACTACATAAATTATATATGGAAAATTCACCACCAAAATTAGTCCTACATAAGTAATATATAGGAAATGCAGTATCTAACTTCTACATAAGTAATATACAGAAAATCCAGCACCTAACTAAGATCGAAATAAGTAATATATAGAAGACGCAGCACCTAACTATGTACTAAGTAAGTATGTTATTTATTAGAATTTCAAATGGTCTGAAACCAAGCTAAATGATACTTTAAATTTAGTAGTTTTGTAAAAGCCGATATATAGTTAGTTTATGATATTTGCCAACAAGATTGATACACATACACTTTTCTTTTTGAACAGAAATACGTTTTAACATACACACAACAATACAATTTATAATAACAGTTATTACAAATTGTTATTACAAACAATGATTTATAAACAGTTTCACAAACTTACAAGCAATATAAAGTCTTCCTTTTAGTCTGGAACTTCTTCGATATCTTATCGAGAGTTCACAGTGAGCGAGTTGATTATGAGTTGACGTAGGTATAATTCATCTAACGGGAAGCTAGCTAACTCTGTCCTTTGTTATTTATCAGCCACACACACCGGGTTTTTCACTGTGACGTTATGTAATGTTTTCGTAAAAATACTAATGTCCAATGATAATCCACTGAAATTAAATGAGTTGTAATGGTTGAACTGAAATTTTCCAATTGATAATCGTTATAACAATTATAGTTATAGCTTCCAAAGTTTATAGCACACTGTCTATAGCAAACTAAGAATAGATACTATCTTTTTTTGGTGCGTTGCATTGTTTATATTTATAGACGTGTGGAGGTTTTCTAGAAAGTTCACTTTTACGTAACAATACTGGTGCTAACACAAGCCTTTACGTACACACATATTGTTGATTCTTACTCTCGAGAATCTTCTATAACTTTGGAGAACAGATGGGAGTTTTGCAATACTTACTTAAGAGTATAAACTATGCATGCTTCTAAATATAAATTTAATCCAAACAAACGTTGATATTAAAATAAATATACAACCACAAATTCGTTACAAGTAGTATGTAGAAAACGTAGCACTAAACCATGTACTAAATAAGTAATATTTGGAAAATGCACCACCCAACGAAGTACTAAATAAGTGATATATAAAAAATGCAGCACCTAACTAAGTACAACATAAATAATATAGAAAATGGCAGCACCTGACTAAGTACTACATAAGTAATTTATAGAAAATTCAGCGCCTAACTGAGTATTAAATAAGTATTATACAGAAAATGTAGCACATAACTAAGTACTACATCAGTAATATATAGAAAATGCAGCCCCTAACTAGTGTTGCATATCTGCTTGTTTGTCAATTTCCCGTATAAATTCTTTCCGAGAAACTTCAGCGACACAAGTCCTTTCTTGATTAAAACTAGTTTATTCTGT